TTCTCTCTTTGAATTCAATATATTGTCTGAGCAATTGAGATTAATTTATAACGTTTACACAACTGCTTGTAATACATCGAGATATCTGAACTTAAGCTAACAGTTATTATTGGAACCAAATCCTTATAGTATAGGATTTTTAAAAATTCATTCTGATGTTGGATTTCCAACAGTTCCGTAATCTAATAGCTTCACTATTATTTCTGATTTAGATACTAGCCCTCTGTTTTCAGATGATATCACCTAGTGTCAGAGCATCTTCAACATCATCCACTCTCTCAGCTCATCCCATCCTGACTGTTTGATAGTCAGGACCAGCTCCCTCCACTGTGTGAGTTGCTGTTTCTGATGTAGCTTGCTGCCACCATCTTCTTTAAGTGTGTGAAACTACAGAGTCTGCTTGGTCTGGTGTGAGAGAGGAAAGCCACTTCCTGGTCTAACTAGAAGAGTCTGTTGTGAACAAGATATACTTCATTGCATGTTTTCAGCTGGTTACAGATTACATTGATACAATAAACATTGTTTCAGAGATTATGAGGAGGATCCCATGATAGAGCATGGTCCCCATGACATCATCATAGTGGGTGGTGCTTATGACAGTCCTTAATGTTAAACCTTTCAGTCCCTGATACAATACTAACCCATTGTCATTAAGCTGCCAAATGTCTGTCTAAAATCCAGTTCTGCTTCAGCAGAGTGTTTCTCTGACTTGGATATCAGGAAGATTGTGGTCCCTGTTGTAATTTCAACTCGCTAGCTCCCCACTGTCTCCTAACAAATGGTCTGAGGCTTAACCAGACTGTTCATAGCCATGGTGTCATGTTTAGCAATATATGAAATTCGGATCACATTTGCATCATCAGTAAGATCATCTATTTACGCCTTTGTGATATCTGCCCCAGCTCCTGTCCCCACTTGCCTGCTGTTGAAATTGACATCTGTTACTTTGTTAACTTCAAATTTGACCATTCCATTGCACACCAGGTTGATCTTCTACACTCCACTCTCTGTAAACTTGAGGTCATCCAAACTCTGCTGACCGTGCCGTGCCATGCACCAAGTCCTGTTCTGCTATCACCTGCACTGGCTCCTGACTAAACAACAACCTAATTTTAAAATTCTCATCCTTGTTTTCAAAACCCTCTACATCTTTGTCATGTGAACCCACTCCATAAACCCCCCAAGTCTGCAATCATCCAATTTTTGATGTTCAAAAGCAACAACAGCAGCTTATCAGACAGAAACATGGAGCTCTTGAGCATCCCCTGTTTTAATTACTTCACTCGCCTGAGCTCTGAGTTACCATTCTTGACCTCTCTGCCTCTCGCTAACTCCTTTTACAATTTTCCTTAAAATGTACCTCTTTGGCAACTGTTTTAGTCATCTGTCTTTATAAGCTTGGTGTCAACTTTTGATTCTTCACTGTTTTACAGGATGTGGGCATCACTTTTGCCCATCCCTAATTGCCCCTTGAACTGAGTGGTTTGCTTGGCCATTTCCGAAGGTATCATCATAGATCATAGAATCCCTATAGTGTGGAAACAGGCCCTTCAGCCCAACAAGTCCACACTGACCCTCCAAGCATCCCACCCAGACCCATCCCCCTATAACCCACCTCATCTACACATCCCTGAACCCTACGGGCGATTTAACATGGCCAATCCACCTAGCCTGCACATCTCTGGACTGTGGGAGGAAACCGGAACACCCAGAGGAAACCCACACAGACGCGGGGAGAATGTGCAAACTCCACACAGACTGTCGCCTGAATCGAACCTGGGTCTCTGGTGCTGTGAGGCAGCAGTGCTAACCACTGAGCCGCCGCGCTGTGAAGGTAGTTCAGAGTTAATTGCATTGCTGTGGGTCTGAAGTCACACGTAGGCCAGACCAGGTAAGGATGGCAGATTTCCCACCCTAAAGGACATTAGTGAACCAGGTGACTGTTTCCAACTATCAGTTATCACATTAAGGTACTTCTGTGAAGTGCCATGTTAGCTATCTTGATGTCTAAAAGTGCTATATGAAAAAAGTTGGTGAAGTTTCTGTTGTTGACTATTGTGTGCTACTGCTCAATAAACAAAAACTATTACATCTGAATTCAATCAACCAGTTGGAGCCCCCATCATGTATGAATTGAAGTGAGCTCTTGGTGTCTGTAATATTTACCTCTCTCAGTAAAGGAGCTCAAATGTTTTGAAGCATTGATTTCAACTCTCCATATTAGTGAGATAATAGGTACAAGAAGTGGATGGAAAACAACAATTGCTTCAAGTGATTTTAGAAGATAGTTTTCCATTCTCTTCGTGCTTAATCGTCACTGTTTTACTTTTTGATCAGGGCTGATGTCCCTCAATAGGTTTGCTAGCCATCAGTCATTGCTCTCTCTCCCAATTGCGCTGTGCTTGTACTTTACCTACTTAAAAGGAAATTGGGAAAAATTTTTCTGTAAATATTATGCTTTATTTAATTTCTTAATCTATGATAGGCTTCAGGCAAGCAGACAGGGTAGTTAAGGACGGCACAGTGGCTTAGTGGTTAGCACTGCTGCCTCACAGCACCAGGAACCTGGGTTTGATTACACACTTGGGTGACTGTCTATGTGGGTTTCCTCCCACAGTCCAAAGGTTTGCAGGGTCGGTGGATTAGCCATGCTAAATCGCATAGCGTTCAGGGATGTTTAGGTTAGGTGGGTTAGACATGGGGAAATGCAGGGGTAGGGGAATGAGTCTGGGTAGGATGCTGTTCGAAGGGGTGGTGTGGACTTGTTGGGCCAAATGGCCTGTTTCTGCATTGTAGGGATTCTATGAAGAAGGCATTCAGTACACTTGCCTTTATTGGTCAGTGCATTGAGTATAGAAGTTGGGATGTCATTTTGCGGCTGTACAGGACATTGGTCGGGCTGCTTTTAGAATACTGTGTTCAGTTCTGGTCTCCCTGATATAGAAAGGATGTTGTGAAACTTGAAAGGGTTCAGAAAAGATTTACAAGGATGTTGCCAGGGTTGGAGGGTTTGAGCTATAGGCTGAATATGATGGGGCTATTTCCTCTGGAGCATTGAAGGCTGAGGGGTGACCATATAGAGGTTCATAAAATCATGAAGATTATGGAT